GGGTTGGGCTGTCCCTCCGTCTCTCCGCGGGTTTTTTGGGGGAAAACTTTGTGCGTTCTCGCAAAATCACAGTCGTTGCGTGAAGATTCCTCACCCGGGACGACGGTGAGCTGAAGGAAAGCTCTGAGGTTCAGCCGCTGATTTGGGCTCCATGTGCTTGTTTTTACTTAATTTGTCCTCCAAGGAAGGCCTGTGAAACCTCCTCTCAGGTTTTCATTGTGGGTTTTGAAATGCTGCAGGTGCTGGGGTTTTGGTGTTTTGGGGCTTTTTTTTCAGCGTTTGAAAAACAGTCACTTACAGAGCACTTCTAAATAAACGCTAACGTCTTTGCATCTCTCCCAGTTGCAGCGTGAAGAAAGATATTTACGGTGCTTGCCTACCCACCCTATGAACAAACAGGTCAGTACCTAAAATAAAGAGGGTTTGGTATTTCAGGTAACTCGGGAAAAGGAATTTCAACGTATAATACGCAGTCATTCATACAGATGTGTATTTACCTAGTTAATCTCAACATGTTGGTGGCACGAAGAAGTCTAGACCATTTTACTTTGCAGACAGGAATTCCTTTTGAAATAAGGTGTAGAAAGTGATCCTTCCAGTATGCTCCTGTGTGGCCCAGTGGACCTAATTGGATGTGGAAAATACATATTTGTGCTGTTTCTTGCTTCAGGATGATGTTGTTTTAATAATGCAACTGCTTTTTGATATTTCGTTAAAATCTTTTATTGGGCTTTTTGCTGATACTGTTAGCAAGAGTTACTTCTGTTGCAACTCTGTTTAAACTGTGGAGTGAATGAACTCATTCACTCTGGTATCTATCTCTACAGATTTCAGTGAATGGGCAAGTATGACTGTATTGCCTGGTATGTGTGTGAGACTTCGATGAGTGTAGCTAACAGTAAATACAGCCCTGTGCTTCTGATCCAGTTATGTGAAATCTTGCAGCGTCTTGCACAATTCCGATAGTGAAGATGTCAACTGTGTGACAAATTCAAGTGGGCATGGAGTGTAAAGTGTCCTTCTGACACAGAGGCTGTTGCTTAAATCAGGATTTACAGATTCTTTGATGAAATTGGCCTGATTGCCGATGGGACAAGATTGTATGAGGAATGTATTAAGAGATCTCTCTTACTCAGTATGCTTCCTGTCAAAAAAGATTTTTGAAAAGAGAAATAATCTCTGATAAAGACAAATCCCAGTACTAGGGAAGCACATGAGAAATTCAACAAACCAAGATTTCAATTTCTATTTTAGAAACAGACTCAGCAGAAAATATTTCAGCAGTTGTCATGGGTGTTCTTAAGTGTTAATAGTATAATAGTGGCTATTGCTTTGCTCTTTAGTAACACTTTAGTTTTTCAAAAAGTCATTTGCCCTGAGTGTTTTTTTCTTTGGTAATCTTATTTTTTCCTAGTGTTGAGCATCAGCACTCTGATCCAGGAGTGACTAGTATATATTAAGTCACAAACAGATAGTTTTCTTTCAGTCACTTTACAGCTACAGATAGCACTGTGTACAGTTGAAAGATAAAGATTTTCTTTCCTCCCCCTAAAGACAAGTATTTTATCCAGATGGTTATTCATAAATGTATAGTTAAAATCTTCTGTCTTTTTTAAAAAATGAATTGATCTGTATAACTGCTTCTAATTAGTATGCCCAGACATCATCCACAGGTTACAGTGAGAATTCATCTTAGGTGCTAACTTATTTTCTAATAGTAAAAATAAGATTTTATTCTGTTGTTTATACATAGTGTACATGATGTTTAAATGCCTTTTATAGTAAAGCAGTGGACAACGGTAAGTAAATCATCAGTGTGGCTGGTAATTTTCGCTTAAAACTGGCTGATCATTAAGATAATAAAGCTATTACCAAGCCAAGAAAGGAAAGTATTGGAAGAGTAGATTGGTGGTAAACAGGTAGCCCATATGGATTTAGAAAAGGGGGTTAAGGAGTATAAAAAATGACGTTCTGGAAGTGAGATGTGTCAGGCTGAAATAAAGAGTTTCCAAAAGCCAATCTGAGCTAGATTTCACAACAGAAATCAGAAGACAAAGAAGGAAAGCAGCAGCACTAGGCAAAGCTCAGAGTGAAGCTAGTCCCAGAACAAAACTACTAACTTGCTTCTCTTTTGAATATGAACATAGATGTTGGACCATGGGTGCACAGGCTGAAGAACCCATGGGGTTTAGAATATGGAAACTGTGTGAAGAAGCATTTGTTCTGCCTTTTCCCTCAGGCCTTTGGCTCTGGATGGAGCTAAGGAGACCATGTGTTGCAGGTCTAACGGTGCTGACCCAGCGTGCTGTGGCTGTGGACTATAGACCACCTTTTAGCTCCTGTCCTCAGCACAGACTGGCACTGGCCATTGCTGAAATGGCAGGGCAGCCCTGAACAGCCACCGGTATACTCCACCATCAGTGTGGGAGATGGGAGTCAGGATAGTTCACACCAGGCTAGCTTCTTATTTCTGTAGCAAAATAACTGGTTTCTGCAAATGAGAAAGGCAGGAAAGTTCGTCATTTTGTGTTCTTCTGACAGTTCTAAGCTTGCCATCTCTCATCAGCCACCTCTTTCCTCCTCAAACCCTGTAGAGCATAAGAATTTTTGATATGGGGATTGTCAGTACTTGGAAGTACCGAAAGGCCTGTTGGAGTGAAGAGCTGTCGGACAGGGACATGCAAAAATAAAGGATGAACAGAAATTACAAGAAACGTAAACCACATCTGAATTCTAGAAAACATTTCTTAGAGGAAATGAACATATAAAGAGCCTTATCATCAGCATGCATGTTTCGTGTCATCTTTGGGTTTGTCTAACATAACTACATGTTAGATTTACTTAATTTAGTGACTTTTCATTGCAAGATCTGTGAATTAAACAGTATTTTATGTGTAGTGCAGAGTGATAATAACAGCCTTCACATTAATATGCACGCACACGTGCACACAAACATACTTCATGAACACATCAGCAGTTAGAAGAAAGATGCCCACTTCAGTGTTCAAAAAACCCTTTTTGTTTCCTGCTGATGCAGCCTGTACCTATTATAGACACCGACCTTCTCTCCCTGGCAGAAACATCCAGCTGTACTCAGCAGCTGCCAGCATTGTGTCTACACGGCTGTGGTTGTGTCTATGTTGTAGGTGTCCATGGGATCCTGAGTGTGCACTAGCCCCAGCCTGCCCATCGCTCTGATTTTCTGAGGCACTGGGAGATGGTGAGCATGCATCTACATGTAGGCACTGTGGGAAATGAGCAGACTGGCACCTGAGGGTGAAATCTGGCATCATTAACATGACAATATTGACACACCCCTTCTAGACAATAAAAAGTTAGTGGTAGCAAAACATCAGGCAGTTCTTGAGGAGAACACGGAATTTTCACGTAGCATAATCTAGCTGACAAAATGAGATTTCATGAGGAGTCTCAACGGATATTCAGGGCTTCCAGCCTTAAGACGGAATCCCTGAATCCTGTCACATTCCTTAAGTGTATCCCTTTTTGTTGTTTCAGGATGCTCACCAGAACCCCAGGTGTTGTTGCCCAAGCGTTCCTTCTTCTAAGCATAGTTCTTGTCATTGCTATTGCAGTGATTCAGATAAATCAGCAACAGATCCTCTCCCCAGGGCTTAAGGTAAGTCTTAGAATGCCTAAGAAAAGAAAACAGTTTTTTGAACTGATGTTTAATCGTGTTTCTTCCAAAACTAATTATGGTGTGATTCAAATGAGCTTACAGCCATAAATTGATGTTTAATCACATCTTCATCATGGGAAAACTGAAACTGAGAGAAAAAGAGAATTGGTCATGATCAGAGTCAGTGACAAAGCAGGAAAGGCATTCCTTGATTCCCTGTCTGTGATGCCTATCACACAATATCTTATCCAAGACTGAGAGGCCAAATGAGGAGGATATGCCACTGCTTTTTTTTTATTTTTGCCAGAGATTGGAAGTAACTTTATAATCATTTTGAAGTCAGAAATACACAGAGTTTAAATACTGCCCCCAAGCACAGTTAGGAAGTTTATGCCAAAATCTTTGCAAACTGTGTATCAAAAGAATTTGGGCTGTTAAGTGTGCACATTATGATTTACCACATGTTGGGACTTGATGGATATTAACAGAAGCAAAGTAGCTCATGATGAGGGCAGAGCAAACCAAAAAGACAGGCAGAAATACTCTGGAATTCAGGCTTTGCCTTGTGCTGCTGGAGTACGTGTGGAGATTCTTCAGGGAGAGAATTACAGAAACCAGAACTCTGAAGCTTTTTTGGGTTAATGTTGTTTCCCTGTCTTGTCCTGACTAATCTAGTCCCTTGACTAGATGATGCAGTTGTTGGGTATTAGGGAATCACCAGGCCTTTGTCTCTCTCCACTGGTGTTTGAGTAGAGATGACAGAAATCCTCAGTGGGAAAGTTGAAGTAGAGGGGAAGGGAGGGAGAAAAAGTTGGTCTGTTCTTTAATAGCTGCTAGCCCAGATAAGGGTTTCCCTGTGCTCTCAGTCCCACACAGTGCATCTCAAAGCAGGAAGGCATTGCTTGTCCTTAAAGGGCAGCCAAAGATGATCTGACTTGCTACCTGGATAGAAATGTAATGTCACCGAAGAATTTTAATTCAACCAGTTTGTCTTAGGCAGCAGGCTGAGACAAGGCGTGTAGAATTCTCTCACCCTCTTAAAATGCTGCATCCTCTGTCATTTCTGTTTTTTTAATTAAAGATTAACCTTAGTCCTAACATCTGGCACACCTCTCACTGATCATCACTTCAGGAGGCTGCATGGGCCAGTTCACACAGAGTGAACTCACACCAGTTCTGAGGAGCTTCAAGAGTCACCCTGAAATGGGCCCAAGAGTCCTTTTCAAAATTGAGCATCTCTTTTAAAGAAAACAAGAGGCTGTACAGGAAAATAGGAGGAGGGAGAAAATGAAACTGTGAGTTGCACATCGGTTCAGATAAGTGTACCACTACCCTTTGGGCCTGAAATCTGTTACTTTCAGGAAGGAGGCTGGGAAATGCAGGGGAGGGTGGAAGGAGGTCAAAAAGCCCCACAGTTAGCTGAGGTAAAAATACTCCCATTACCTTCTAGCTCTACCTAGGCATGATAGTTAGCTCTAAAAGTAGTTAAGTTTGGCACTTAAAAGTAGCTTATGGTTGGCACTCTGAGCTGACGGAGACTAGATTTAACTAATAGCCCTTGAGCAGATTGACCATTACCATACTATGTGTCTCCAGAGTCCTCATCTCTCTTTCAAAGAGGGGAAATACACTCAAAGTATCTCTGCCAAAGTAGTTACTTGAAGGGAGCCTGATGGCATAGTGGTTTGATAGCATCTGTGGAGCCTTTCACAGTTGATCAGGGTAAGTATCGTCTGGATAAGTATAAATGAAATTTTCATTATCTAACAGTCCTTTAGGAAGCAGACTAGACTGGTATTGCTGGTAGTTCTTTGGGGGCTGGGAGTTTGTAGGATTACTGCAGAATCTGGGAACTAATGAGGTGTGGAATCTGAATGGTTTGCCACCTGAAGCAGTGATCTTTCTCAGTCAGACTTGAGGCTCCCTAGGGAGGCACTGGGATGAAATTTATTGGCCTGCTGCAGGGGCTCTTACTGCTTTGCAGCCAGATGGAGGCTCTTATTTTTCAGTATTGTCAGGCTCCTGGGCATCTGTCTTTTTTAAAAGAAAAAAGTTGACAGAGAAATGAACCCTACACTATGTGATTCTTGCCAATTAGATGACTTTGGAAGGTCAGGGGGCAGCTAAATGTACTTTCATGGATCATAAAGAGGATAAGCAAAATCGCAGTTTTCTTCCCTTCGTGCAGTTTGCCTTCCCAGTTGCTACAGTTTTCTGCTGCCATAAAAGATGGAAAAGGGGGAAAGACTGGTCTGGTGAGCAGTGGAACAGGATGGAGAAACCTGGGCTTTAATCACACAGAGAATCCAGTTGACCTGGGGCAAGTCACTTAAATATTCCTCATTTGTTTAATAAACAAACATGGGGTAATACTGATTCCCTCTTTGCTGTCTCACACGCTGGCGCAGCCTGTTTTCAGTGGCAGGCTCTCAAGTGGACTGCCTAAACCACTCAAAGGGAGAGGTTTATGGGCAATTAGAAAAGAACCAGACTTGTTACATCATTCTGAATGTGGACTATTATGTACTTTACCTCTTTGCTCGTAGCTTTATGGATCCCTTGTGCATCCTTGAATCTAAAGCCTGTGCTTAGGTATCAAACCCTTCAGTGTCCAGGGAGTATAGCTGGGATAATGGGAAATGAACTCGCTGCAAAATCAGGTCCTAACACAGTGTTATCTATGTGTCAGTGTGGATTTTGAACCTGATGCTGAAGAGATGAGCATTCTCCATCCCCACTGACATAATTATTGAAGATATTTAGTATGTTCTTTGTTTTGCAGCCAGATTAATTCTGTGCTTGGCTGTTGGATTCATGCCTAAGCGCCTAACACTAGAATTAATCTCTCTTGTAAATATACTGTGCATACATTTTCTAAAGTGTTGATGGTGCAAAGAAGTACAGCTGTGTATGGGCCTTTAAGCTGTCACTTTTTGTTTCTTGATCTAGTGATTTAATTTTTTCTCCCCAGTATGGAATAGTCCTTGATGCTGGATCCTCTCGGACTACAGTCTATGTCTATGAATGGCCAGCAGAAAAAGAAAATGACACGGGAGTGGTAAGCCAAACCTTCAAGTGCAACGTGAAAGGTAAGCTCAAATGGAAATTCCTTATTTCTTTCAAGCCTCCAAGAAGAGGATATCTGAAAGCTTATACTTTTTTTTTTTTCTTTTTTTTTTTTTTTCCTGCTGCGTTCCCTTTTAAGTGCTGGGGAGTGAGAACTGTTAAGATGGTGTCTGTATGTGTCAGTATCAGTCCTTCTCCTACTGATAGACAGAGTGCTCTAATCTGCAATGGAGAGAGGAAATTGTAACTAAACTTTACTCCACTGCAGTGCATGATTGGTGCAGACAGAATTCGCTATACAGAGAATCAGGCACTGTAAATGTTTAGGCCTTGGGCCCTGAGATAAATTCTTTTAAAAGGAAAGTATAAAATATATTTTAAAATAGATCAGAATAAAAAGTCATTGAGAGGAATGGGGATCTAGACCTTGTTAGATATTAGCCATTAATTTTGATGGAGGTAAAAAATGAGTGTCAGCTATGCTATAGGAGTTTGACAAATTAGGTTTTATTTTCCAGAAGTCTTAGTGATGTTTAGAAAAATTTCTGCTGTTTGAGTCAGGATTCCTAGAGAAACAAGGCTTGTGCAGTTCATCTGGAATTAGAGGCAACCTAGAGGAAGTTATGAAAGGCATGCAGAGGGTGAACAGGAGGAGCTTCTCCATACCACAGAACTAGGAAGTGTCTAATAAAATTATCAATAAAACAGCTAAATTGTAGAACTGTTTCTGACAGGATGTCATAGTTGTACCAGATACGCAGGTCTGGCCTTTGGCTCAGGAAGACTTGTAGTTGTACAGACTGACTTTTGCTCATACTCCTGTATGGTTAAGTATATGTTTTAATAGCTTGTTGTGAATTCCTTCATAACAGCTTTTGAATCTCTTAGTTAACTTCAATGACATTAGACTAAGCTTTCAAAGATACCCAAGTTCCACACATTCTATGAAGACAGGTGGCCAGGCAGGGGAGAGAAATTCACATTATTAAACTAGCTAGTCCATAAGGGGTTCTGCAGGAAGCCAAGCTGTGTAAATTCTGCTACTCTGAGTTAAATAAGCTTTAGAATATCCTCTAAGATACTGCCTTCAGCAATACTGCCTTGGAGATGTAGCCATAACTAGTATGAGTAGCTAGGAAATGAGTAGAAGGCAATGGTTTCTTAAGATCATCAACGTTTCTATCTTCAGTGTTAAATATACATGTGGACATTCTTAGCAATTTTAGAACAAGGAAAGGAAAGCAGCTGTAACGTGCACAGAAGTAATGCGCTGTCATGTGCCTGATGGTGTGTCTTTATAGACTGCAGGAATGGCAGCCAGCCTGCTGAGGTGGGGGGTACACTGCTGGCTCATTAGTAATGTTGCCTTTAGGAATCCTGGTGTATCAAAAATGCACAGAGAAACTGCGTTATTCTTCTTGAAAAATGACAGAGGAGTACTTTGTGAATTTGTTTTAATTGGTTTAGATTTTGGTTTACATCCAAGGAATATAAAAAATTGCAAACCAGAGGAGTCCAAATTGCTGTGAACTGTTCGGGTCCAGAGAGCCCTTAACCATGTTCAACCAAAGTACTCATCCTCCAGTCTACAAAATCACCAGGCTTCCCTGCTCCAGTCTTGGGTGACTGCACTAGAGGAGACTGGGCTCATGGGAGAGGTCCCCAACCAAGCTGTGGGGGGCAGCCTTGAGCACTTAAACTGGGGGATGGATCTGGCCATACTGAGAGGCAGACTTTCACATACCTACTGAACTTAAAAGTCAAACGATCAACTACTCTGTAACTTCCGCGGTGGTTTTATAATTTTATTTCTGCCTTTATTAGGTACCTCTGCCTCATGTGGGGCTGCTGCCTACACACACAAACCCCTTTCTATATAGTGCAGTTAATCTGTCCTGCTCAGGCTCTAAGCATCCTCAAAGCAGGCAGCTGTCCAGAAGAAAATGGTCACTGCCTTGTGACCTGCCCTCTCTGAACACCAGGAGATGGAGGTTGTTGCTGCCAAGGGAGTGTGAGGCAACAGCAGTCGCTGAGGATGTAAAACAGCAGTTGCTGCAGTTTCATCTGGTAACAGGTTTTCTTCCAGTCTCAGGCCTGCCTGTGCTGGACTTAAGACTTTTGGAAAGTCTTATTCCAAACCAGGGCTGTGAACAGCTAATGATGACATGGTAATGTTTATGTTTAAGTTCATACTGTGGAAAAGGGAGTGGTGGAGTGTGGAGTCTGTTTCATCTGTTTTTATCAATGCAATGTGGCTGAACATAAATGGTTTCTCATTTTAACTCTGTAAGAGCCATCTTTTACTTAGCTTGGGATCAAGTTGTGAGAGAGATGGCTGTTACAGGAGAACTAGATGGAGTTCTGGCAGAGTTGTTCTCTGTGGGGCAATGGCTTCATGGGAATGCCTGGATTTCTCCCTGTGTGGCTTCCTCAGCTAGGGAATTTGAGTAAGGAATGTTTTTTTATTCACACCCAAGTTGAAGTCCTTCTGGTCCTTGGAGTGTTGAACAAGGGAGGAAAGACTTTGATGTTAATTGTTCAAATAGTTATGCCTTATGCAGCATGGTGTAACTCTCATTCCTGTTATTTTAAGGCTTTGGAAATTTGGAAAACTGTGAAACACTTAGTAGTTCGTGCACCAGCCTAGACTTGGACTTCTATGACTTCAAGAGCCATTTGCATTCATCTTGAAATTTCACCAGCAATTCCTTGCAGAAGCTTCTATATTTTCATTCGAGAGCAGAGAGCTGGAGAGGTGCCATGGTGTCCACAACAGTTGTGGCAAACCAGATGGGAAATCTTTGTTTTAGGTTGTGGAAGAAGAGATTTTCTATACTTTAGCAGATCGGAGAAATCTTACATCCATTAGAAATGCTATTTTCTACAGCATCTGCCATGAGTAAACCTATTTTCTTCATAAATATAGCATTGCTGTCTTTGTGTTGTTATGTGGTTATACTGTGTATCTTACTCTAGGTATGGTACTATAGCTGTGTATGTACACACAAGGAAATACAGGTGAGCAGTTTGCAAATATCTTCTGTCTCACACAGCTGAAACAGTCCCTGCATTGTTTATTTCTTAAGCACTTGTAGATCATCCTATCCTTGTTTGCAATTGCAGGAGGGAAGGGGGAAATCTCTTTCTCTTAACACCTGTTTGCTAATTGGGCTAATTTGTAGTTGGCAAAGCAGAATGAAATCAATCTACTTGTTCTCTTTTAAGGCCCTGGTATCTCTAGCTATGAGAGTAACCCTGGAGCTCTTGTCAAACCCTTTGATGACTGTCTGAATAAAGTCAAGGAGAGAATACCAGTTCATCTGCATAAAAACACTTCTGTTTATCTGGGGGCTACAGCTGGCATGAGACTACTGAGGTATGGCAGAAACTTTAATTCCTCTGTATGTGTCCTAGCATAGCAGTCTTTGAAAACAGAATGTGAAAAATGTATTGGATGCATTTTTGTCCATTGGAAACTGGCCATCTCAAAAGGAAATGGAGCCCAGCCAATTGAATTTAATTAACCTTTTTGATAGGGAAAGCAGGGCTGTATAAAAATCCTCCATTATGCTGTATTGAAAAGAATGCTTGCTTTATTCTAGAGAAAGCAAGAGTTTAATTTTCTCTTCCACATCTGTCTTAAAATTCAGTGTTATGTAAACAGATAATGTTTGTGCTTATCCGTGGGCAGTAAAGGCAGATTAAAGCTAGACACTGCAGAGTTTTCTGAGTGTGAGTGTGGTGTAATGTGGCTTTTGGGGTCTGTCTGTGGCTTTAGCCCTAGCACAAACCGGCTTTTTGTATTTGTTCTGTGGCTAAACAGAGTGGGAAGAAAGGCTCCAGGACTTTTAACCATCAGCTGTCATATAAGCGCTCAGTTTACTAAAAAGAAAAGTATATGTAAGAAGCAAAGCACCCATGCACTTGTATGATAAAGAGCGAAGTCTGTACATAGTGGGGGAGTTCCTCGCTGAAACAATGCTGGATACTTGCTGTTCCCTGTCATAAGCTTCCCCTTTAGGGAAATCATGTCTGTTTCTTTATTAGGTGGTTGTAGGAGTTTTCTTGAATTGCTAGTCAGTGAACAATAAAGATAAAATTGCCTTTTCAGATGCTCAGTGTCTCATGTTTTGTGAATTGCTTAGGTTGCAAAATGAAACGGCAGCCAATGAAGTCCTTGCAAGCATTCAAAGCTACTTCAGAGCACAACCTTTTGAATTTAGGGGTGCTCAAATCATAACTGGGCCAGAGGAAGGGGTGTATGGATGGATAACAGCCAACTATTTAATGGGCAATTTCTTAGAGGTGTGTGGAAAAAAATGCATGCTTTTCTTTTCACTGTTTCTCTCTTATAAATGAGGAGTTTGAGAGGACATGCCTGTTAAAACATCATAGCTATAACTTTCATTTTGCACTGAAACATGTAATGGTATTTTTGTGGCAATAATGGAACAAAGTAAACATAAATCAAAGAATATGATGTTACAAGAATGTGATATGGCAAAGGTAAAATTGTTGACCGACAAAACAGGGCTCTTCCCTAAATGATATCGGATGCCTTACCTAGAAACAGAAGTTACATTGCTCTTAAATGTGTTGGTATGTTAAGTGTGACAGGTGTTGATTGTCTTGAAAGTGGTCCCAACTAAAGATGTTTTCTTCTGCTTTTCTGTGACTTCCTCAGGTGGTTGCTGTCCCTGCAGCTCTACTGGTGAAGGATCTGCACAGCTTAGGGGTCTCCAAATTGTTTGGCAGTGTTGGCTCACTTGTCTTAAACAGACAAGACTGAAGTAGTGCAGGTGGTTAAGTTGATGTGGCCAGATGTGCCTCAGCTGAGCCAGAAGTCACTCATATACACTCATTTGATACTGCTGAAAAGCTGCAGGCTATGAGCAGTGGGCTGTGATACCAACTATCTTGTGCAGACAAAGTGATACCAATATAAAGATACTTATCCTGTTCTTGAACTCAGAAATAGGGTCAGGCAAGAGCCTCAGAGTCAGTCAAATGCATTGTAAGGTCCCTTTTTATAGAGAGATATTCAGTATAATTTCATTCCCAGTAAAAGCTGTACCAAGATGATCAGAAACTGCTCATTCTGCGCTCATGGCAGCAGTGTGCTGCCCTTAGCATTAAGGACACTTCTTCCAGATAGTCTCGCTAGATTGAAAGAAATTTCAGCCAAACCCCTGAGTATTGTTAGCTGTCCTAGTTGGATGGTTCCTGTTAGATCATGGCAATTGATAAGCAGGGATTAGTTGTGGGTGATCTGAATGATAGCTCATGGTGAACGTGTTGCTGACTCTAGCAAAATTAAGAAAAACAGTGTTAGAATCGCATGTTCTGGAAGAGTTTTTCTCATTGTGTGCATTTTGTGCAACAAAAATGACATCATGAACTTCAGGGTGGTGTCAGTCTTCTAGCATGTGGTGGTTTAAGCCCAGAGGGCAACAAAGCAGCCTGGCTCACTCCTTCCCCCTCAGGGATGGGGGGGAGGAAAGAAAACAAAAGGCTCAGGGATGGATACAAGGGAGAGGAATGACTCACTTGTTATGGTCATGGGCAAAAGACAGACTTGACTGGGGAAGAAAAAGAACACCAATTAATTTGAACACGACCACTTAATTTTCCAAATGGAGTAGGGCAGTGAGAAACACAACGACATCCTAAGAACACCTGTCT